AAAACACACACAAGACCTCATACATACTGATATCAGTGTAGAGATGACAGAAGACACTTCCTATGACTTTAAAAAATTTAAAAAAAAACAACAATGATGGGGTTGGGGAGGGATAAAACCAGCTTCTATGTATTCAGTGTGCAGATGAACTTCACTATAAATACAAAGTTTCATGAGCAGGTCTATGCGAATCATTAACTTTTCAAAAGGCACCAGTTCCCTTCTGTCACTAATGACATGCGTAACAGTTTAATGTAACACTACTTTTAATTATCAGAGCCCTTTCTTTTAAATATCAAATTTCCCCTTTCTAAATTGTCCTGAGTTCTCTTTACAGTCTCATCTGTCACTGTAAATGTCATCATTTTATTCCTCCTTTGGACGCAATGACAGGCCCTCTCTTATCCCTAACTTTATCTCTTTTTCCATCCTTTATTGTACTACAAAGATCCCTTTTTCGCCGTTTACAGCTGTATCCGCTTTCCACACGTGGCAAATGATTGCCTCAGTAAAGGTATTTTCTGTTTCAATCTCGCATTTTCCCAAGGGAGGACAAAAAGGGGACGAGCTCTCTGGAGTTGGTTTCACTGAGAAAATTGTTTAGAATTGCCTCATTCCTCAACAGATTAACAAATGCATACAATCCCGGCTTAAGTGCTATTGTACGGCACAATTTATCCATTATACTTTGTCCTTTCCATTTAGAAAACCCCTCTCACCAATTAAAGTAATACAGCCTTCCCATACCTGCCCCCAATTAAATCCAAGCTGTATTACCTGCCTTGATGCAGCTGGTCACACATTCCTACCACTTACCAGCATTCATTAAGGCCTTTTCATTATAAAAAAGGGCTGGTGGCAGGAATTCAAGCTCCTGGCTCTATTTAGAGCCCACCTAAATGATCAGCTTTCAGCACAAGGTCCCCATAAGAGCAGGATTAAGTGAATGGAGGGAGAATTCATACAGTAGCAAAATATCATTGTTTCCACTTTGATTGTGTCTTCTTAACCTTGCTGTAGCCAAAAAGCAACAAACCACACTGTCCATGTACAAGGTGGTGGTGGTGGGGAGAGACAGCTGGTCATGATTGAAATATAAGAAAAATGTCATGTGCTCCCAATTTTATTTCTTTATATCCCTAGGCTCCCAAGCCCCTTCCACCGAGAGGAAACAATAGCCGCTATACAAAATGATTCCCCTTTACAGATGTGCTTTGTCATTAACTACTAAGGCTTCACTTGCTGCAGGCTGGCTCGGCGCTGCTTAGGAGCCGTTTTACTTACCGAGCTTAAATAAACTCGGGGAGAGGGGGAGGGAAGAGTTTGCCAAAGGAAAAAGAGAGAAGAAGAAGTTAAAATCGGATTTAAAGCCACTGCAAAGATTTTGATTCACCATGCACAGTCCGGGGCTGTTCTGCATAGCAGAGTTATATGCAAAATCTCTTGTAGTTAATGCTGCCACCGATTTAAACAGGAGTTTAAAACATAGGAGGAGAATAGATAGCTACTGCTAGCAGTCAGAGTTAAGGCACACATCTTCCATTAATTGTAATCTGTGAGTGGGGCTGCATTGAAGCATGGCCCATACGCTTACGGCAGATTCTTCATCATACTGCCGGAATCCTTTTCAGCTGTGCATTTTTAGACATGCTGGTTTTCTTCTCTCCCGACATTATTGCACTTGGGGCTATGCCAATATACTGTATACTTCATATCATGAGGCTAGTTTTGTGGGGGCTAGTGGGGAGATGAGGTTTGCTTGCTGGTCCTTTTCCTAGGTTCAGCCAGTATGGGACATTGCCCCCCCCCAAGTGCATGTGAACCATGACCCGTCATTTGTTGCTGGACTCCATTTCCCATCAGCCCCAGCCAGTCAAAGGTCAAGGATGATGGGAATTGTAGTCCTGTGTCATTCAGAGAGCCACAGGTCCTACAGCCAATTCATAGACGAACAGCAAACCCCTACTGAGTGTGGACCTTTGTGTAGCCAAAACAGCACCACCCACCCACAAAAGGGAGGTTCAGGGTATTCAACAAAATATCTGGGGGAAGAGAAGGAATCGCAAGATGGGGGCAAAACAGCCCCACAAATACTAATCATGCTCAGTAGGCATGATATCTCCCTGCCCCTTTGTTATTATTGCATGTGTCAACATAAAGTCAGACATAAGTTGAAGTCCAGATGAGGGGTGGGTATGGAATCTGTTTGGTTCACTTTGTGCAGTGGACCAACCTGATCTCATGCTCCTGAGCTTGCTTGTGGAACAGAACACAACTCCTAGACAAATTGCACACTTCTCTGGATTTTGCAATGCATTGTTGTTGCATAAAAGTGCACACAAATAGACATACACACTTTACATAAAAGATATGTGCAAAAGGCTTATTTCACAAGCGAATGCATTGAAACATATTGTACATAAAAAAACCCCACATCTTACACAAAAAAGTGCACACAAAATGTCTACAACTGGATGAGACACAGCAGGAGGCCAGCAGACGGAGCAGAATGGGATAGATAGACCTACAATTGAGTACCAGGAAGACTGAAATGCTCAGACCATCCCTAGTACAGCTGAAGTAGGTCAGAAAAATAGCACAGTTAAAAGTATAAGCTTTTCATGATTCCCACAGAGGTGAAATCCAATGAGAGTAGTGGAGCAGGTTTGGGTACCCCCCACATTCTCTTCACCCACATTCTGTGTGGTGATGGTAGGTCTACATGGGTGAGGTCAAAGGCAAAATTGAACAGAGCAATGGATGTAACATTTACCTTTATTGGCTAGTTTCTACCATACCCCTCAACTGTCCCAGAAAAACTGGGACATCTGTTTTTTTCACGCAAGAGCATGGCAGCCATTTTGAGTGCTGTGATCTTACCCCCAAAAAGCATTTTTAGGGGGGCTGTGGTCTTCCACAGTAGTGTACAGCATCTCAGTTTTTTTGCCTTGGAAAGTATGGTTTCTACACACACACACACACACACACCCCTTTATCCTTTAGCCACTATCACTATTACAGTGGTACCTTGGGTTAAGAACTTAATTCGTTCTGGAGGTCTGTTCTTAACCTGAAACTGTTCTTAACCTGAGGTACCACTTTAGCTAATGGGGCCTCCTGCCGCAGCCACCACGCGATTTCTGTTCTCATTCTGAAGCAAAGTTCTTAACCCGACGTATGATTTCTGTGTTAGAGGACTCTGTAACCTGAAGCGTCTGTAACCCGAGGTAGCACTGTATTTTGAGCCAGGCAAATTCAAGGAGACCATGGACTTAGGAGATCCCAAGGGCCAGACAGAGTTGCAGCTGAGGCCTTGACGTTGAGGAGAGAGAAAATCTCCTTTTAAATGGACGTTACTTAGTTTATGGATGGTCCCCAAATAATAAATTTAAGTAGACATGTGGGGAGCCTGGTAATGAAAAGTTCATGTTGCCCTGCAAGGCTGATCTCTCTCTCTAAATATCACTGGCTTGGAGACCAAGGGCTGCCAGGAGGTTGCTGCTCCTGCTTCCCAAAAAGATTATCATGACAAGGGAGAGACAAATCTGTCCCCTTCCTTTGGATGTTGGGAGAAGAGCTGCCCTGATGTTAGCTTTCCTCTCCCCTCCTCATGCTTTTTTCCTTTTATACATCGCCTATTAGATTGCGAGTCCTTGGGCACAGAAGGACCTTATATTTTAATATCTGTACACAGCTTAGATTTTTTAAAAGTTTTTTTTACAAGTGTAGCAGAAATGACAACAACAACAACAACATGCTTCAATTAATTGCATGGACCACGAAATAATTCATATCAACCTGTGTGTGTGGCAATCATGCAAGTAAATGTTGAGTTTTAGCTCTTCCCCCTGTTTGTTGTTCTTTTCTAAACAGACGGCCATGATATATTTATGGAAGAGGAGATCGTTCAGTAGAGTGGTAATAAGGGAAGCTAAAGAAATGTGAAAAGGGAACGATAATGCAAGTGGCTCCAGTTTGTTCCATTTTGGGATCAGTTTCATGATGATTCTTGATGGCACGCCTCTGCTCTTATCAAGGATCAACAACGCACACCTAGCCATTGCATTTCCCCCTCCCTTTTCGGTGGCAGAGGATGTATATTAGTGTTTTCCTCTCAATTAACTCCTAGGCAATTTTCCCAGCTAAATACATAACATCTCTGGCAAAGTGCCAAGCAAAACCTTAAGAACCAGTGCTAAATTCTGCACTTATACAGGCAGCTTAGATTTTCATGTGGTGAACTGGACGTGTGCCAGCAACTCCCACCATAATGCCAACTGTAGGAATGTTACACATACATATACCTATACAGTTGTACCTCTACTTATGTATCCCTCTGGATATGGAATCTCCGGGTTACAGCCACGGCAAACCCAGAAGTATATACTTCTGGGTTTCGCCACGCGTGCATGCGCAGAAGCGCTCTGTGCGCCTTGCACATGCGCAGAAGTGCTCAACCATGCCACACGCATGTGCAGAAGCAAGCTTCTATTTATGTAATTTTTGGGGTGTGAACAGACCCCCAGAACGAATTAAGTTCATATCCAGAAAGTCCACTGTACATAATTAAGAAGTTTCCCCTTAGATTTCCAAGGCCACTTGTAGTCTGCAAGAATCTAAAATTTCTGCACCCCAAAGTGAAAGAAATAATTATCCTGCTATTAAATCAACCCGATGATGATGATTTGGTAACCTCACACTTCTGACGGTGTTGCATCAAAGATACAAACAGAACAGTCCTTTACTCCCAGTTCACTGGTGGTGGAGCGTGGGAGGAAAGAAAGAAAGAAAGAAAGAAAGAAAGAAAGAAAGAAAGAAAGAAAGAAAGAAAGAAAGATTGAGATGCTGCCATTTTGTCAGCAGGATGGTAGCTGTATCCTATGCTTGCTCATTCCAGGATGGGAGGAGAAAATATGCCATCCAATGACAAGATCTTCAAAGACTCATCAGACAGAGGGTGGGCTGATGATGACAGCCATAGGTGGAGGGAGTTTAGGAAGGATCCAAGCTCTATGGTACAGCATCTGCTTTTCATGCAGAAGGTTCCTGGTTCAATCCCAAGCAAGGTCAAGTAAGGCTGAGAGAGACCCCTGACTGAGACCATGGAGAGTTGCTGCCACTCACTGCAAATCGTACTGAGCTAGATGGACCAATGGCCTGACTCCATATAAAGCAGGCTCCTGTGTTCCTATCAACTCCTGACAAGACATCCATCCATGGCCATCTGTCATGGATGCTTTAGCTGGAATTCCTGTATTGAAGGAGCTTGGACTAGATGACCCTTGGGGTCCCTTAAAACTCTACAATCCTATGATTCTAGGCTCACAACACACAAACGCAGCACATGTCCCAGTGACACAGTCAACCTCTCTTTAGGCAGGGGATTAAGTTCCTGCTAGGCTGTTCCAGCAGAATGGCTGGAAGTTTTGGACCCAAGATGCTGTTGGTCCCATTGCCTGCCAATCTCTCTCATCCCAAGTCTATTCAAATCCTTCATGTATGTGCAAACGATTTTTCTAGTTACCCCTAATGTGCCATTTGCCACTGTTTATCTCATTTCCTTGAGAACAGACCTGATTGAACAAACTATAGGTCCATCAAAATGCCGAGCATCTGATTTCTCACAGAGGAGAACAAGATGCCTCAAAAATCCCACAGATCTTGTCACTGTTGAATTTTCTGAGAGACTTCTAGTGCCTTTAGCAATGTCCAATGGGCAGAAAACCAGTACATTCAATACAGAATGTAGCAATGGGGAAAAAAGCTCTGTTGGATTTTGGCCATCATGGATATATTCAAGAAAGAAGCTCAGTGGCTGTTTTTTGACCTACTTGATAACATTTGTATAGCTTCATAATGATCAAGTGAGCATTGGCTTTGTGACTTGACTTCGTGAAAAACCTCAGCATTACAAATTAACAGTTATAAATGAAGGAAATGGTCACCAATTTGCCGTGTCCTTCATGGACCTCAATAGCAACATCATTCATCTGAACTTCTAAATTATCTGAACATTTTTGAATATTCCCCAATCCATTCAGATGGAGGACACTATGCTGTGCATGTTAAATAAATACCAGCTCTATCACCAAATAGGGCTGCATTCAGTTTAAAGGACAGCTCTCAGTGGAAAGAATTTTGACATTCAGATAAAGCTATAAAGTGGTCTTTTCAATCTGAAATCCTCTTTTTGAGCTGGACAATTAAAAGTATGAATACAAGGGGAAAGGCAATAAAAAGTAACTATTAAAAGGACCACATGAACCATACTTTAAGACACGCAAAACTCCAGCCCATGATGGCACTGCAAAGTGCTGTTTTGAACTTCCCATGAGTAAGTCAAGCATCTCAGTGGGGCAATCAGACCTTATCTTTTCATTCTTTCCCATCTAAGGTGAATGCAGGATTGAAGTTGAAGACTGCATGTGGTAGTATGTTGAGCAAGATAAGATATATGGAAAATACAGGGGGTTGGGAATTGCCTTGCTTTCTTAAACCACAGAGCCTAGGACTTGCCGATCAGAAGGTCAGCGGTTCGAATCCCTGTGACGGGGTGAGCTCCCATTGCTCGGTCCCTGCTCCTGCCAACCTAGCAGTTCGATAGCTATGTGGCGTTTGCCCTCCTAGGTGGGTCATAAGGAAAGGGTTAAATGAGTGTGAAGTGATTGGCCAGTGGGAAACCAAGGGGAGGAGTTAGAGTTAGAGTAGGAGTTGTTGGGAAGACAGTTGGGAGTTGGAGAAGGAAGAGGGAGGATAAGTCTGTGGGTTGGTCGAGTTTTGATGTGAGAGAGTGAGAGAAACTGATAGGAGGAGTCAGATAGACAGTTGGGATAATCAGTTAGGAGTTATTAGGAAGGTATAGGCCGGTATAGAAACTAAGGATAAGAAACTGACAAGAAAAATTATCTGAAACCATAAACTTGTTCATGCTCATAAAATAAACTTGATTATTTGTTTTAATGTTAACAACTGTCTGGACTCTGTGTGTACCTGAGAGAAATGGGTTGGTGGCAGCGGGGAGGTGATCTTAGTGGTGGCACAGGGATCAATAGACCGTCAAACGTCCGGGGACCCTGTGTGATCACCACAAGCACATCAAAGTGCAAGTAGATAAATAGGTACCGCTCCAGCGGGAAGGTAAACGGCATTTCCGTGCGCTGCTCTGGTTCGCCAGAAGCGGCTTAGTCATGCTGGCCACATGACCCAGAAGCTGTACGCCGGCTCCCTCAGCCAATAAAGCGAGATGAGCGCCGCAACCCCAGAATCAGCCACGACTGGACCTAATGGTCGGGGGTCCCTTTACCCTTTACCTTTTTATGCATGGCTACCAGTCCTTTCCTCTTTTTTGTAAGTCAACTAGAATTCAAGGAACAAGGATCACTGAGGACCTGGGTTCTTATGCACAGGCTACAGCTGCAAGAAATAAACAGGAGGAATCAAGTACACATGTGGCATTAAGAAATAGGAGACTCCAAGGCCCCTTCCTTAAGCTTCTGCTATAAATCCTCTTACCTGTATTTTATTTGGCACAAGTCTTTTCCAGCTTATGAACTGTTCCATTTTTCAAAGCAGTCAACTGCAATTTTGAACCCAGAAATCTATAGAAGGGCGATGGTGTCATCACCTTGCTTCCTCATGTCCAGTTCATCTCAACACTAACAAGAGGAATTTTATTTGTAAGTCATTTTGATCATTTCGGAGCAGAGCTGGAAAGCTGCTTTATGTTAGTAGCAAGGAACTCTGAGAAAAGTGGTGCTCATGTAGATCTGTTGAGAACAAGAAGATTTGGGATTGCTGAAATCAGCCCTGTTTAATCCTTTCTGCATGCAGGTTCCATGTGCAGTCCTTGCAATCATGACAATCACTGGCTATCCTTATTGCAACACAGAATTAAAGGCGGTCTGCTTTAAACTGATTGGGCTGCTTTAAGCAAAGGTTGTCAAGGTTTTTTGGGGTTTTTTTTTAAGATTGGTCCTTCAGTGGCCCATGCAGCCATGTTAGCTTTTTCTCTCCAAGCTGGCCAGATATGCACGACTAAGTCTCCTGCTTTCAGCCATGTTAGCTAAGAAGATTACCAACTTTTATTTTCCGGAAACTTTTCTGCACACTTGTTGTTGTTCTTGTTTAGTCGTGTCCGACTCTTCATGACCCCATGGACCAGAGCATGCCAGGCACTCCTGTCTTCCACTGCCTTCCACAGTTTGGTCAAATTCATGCTGGTAGCTTCGAGAACACTATCCAACCATCTCGTCCTCTGTCGTCCCCTTCTCCTTGTGCCCTCCATCTTTCCCAACATCAAGGTCTTTTCCAGGGAGTCTTCTCTTCTCATGAGGTGGCCAAAGTATTGGAGTCTCAGCTTCAGGATCTGTCCTTCCAGTGAGCACTCAGGGCTGATTTCCTTCAGAATGGATAGGTTTGATCTTCTTGCAGTCCATGGGACTCTCAAGAGTCTCCTCCAGCACCATAATTCAAAAGCATCAATTCTTCGGCGATCAGCCTTCTTTATGGTCCAGCTCTCACTTCCATACATCACTACTGCACTCTGCACACTACTTTGCTGTATTTGCTGCCTCCATTGAAATGCTCTGGTGGATTGGGCAAATGAGTCCAATTGTGGGTCCAGTGGTCAAGAACGTGATTAATGCACATGTGGCAGAGGGAAATGAGGGGCAGATAGTGTTCATCAACCATCGAAGGTAGCCCATCTAGGAGAAGGAAAACTCTGATCCTAAACTTCTGCTGCCTTGTAGGATATCTTTGGGAAAAGATCAGGCTAAGGAGTGAACCAGGCTTCCTCAACCTTGGTCCTCCAGATGTTTTGAGACTACAACTCCCATCATCCCTGACCAGTGGTCCTGCTAGCTAGGGATCATGGGTGTTGTAGGCCAAAAACATCTGGAGAACCGAGGTTGAAGAAGCCTGGAGTAAACCCTACAGATATCTGGAGTGGAGATTGGATGGTGCCTTGTATGCACCTTCCAGCACCTTCCAGTAACTCCTGCAACCAAGCTGGTGCCAAAAATATTGCTCTGCTTTCCTTTGGGCCACATCAACTAGGTCAAGAGGGGGTCTTGTCATCTGGGCAGCCCAGAACCTCCATACACACTGCTTGAGCCCTGGATAGGTCACTTGGATGCTGCTAATGCAGCAAAAACAACACACATTTGGAGAAAATGGCAACATCTTGGTGGGTGATTTTTGGCACAAAACAGAATGGGAAAGAAGGGTTTAAAAAACCCCTCTGCTGGTGCCATGATCTTGATTTTTGATCAGCCTCTGCTGCTTTTTATGAAAGAAAGATGGTGGATGGTTGTGAGCATGTGTTTTAAAAGCATGGCAATGTGTGGTTTGAATCAAAAACTAAACAAAACATGCCATGTGTCTGTGGCAGTAGAGGCAGTCTGTATTTTAAAATGTTGCCCATTTTAACTCACCCACTGTTTTAAGATTAAAGTGGACACGCAAAGCCCAAAACCAAACAACTACAATTCCATTTGCATTCCAAGTATGCCAAGAGTTTATTATTAATATACTGAAACAATCCACATTAAGGAAAAGGCTTTAGCATTTCATGGTGTAATATGCATAGGCAGTAGAGCAAGTTGTAACTTTTTCAGCACATTTTTTTTTGGGGGGGGGAAATCAAATTCTCATTTCATATTAATATTCAGTATTCATATTGTATGTGGACACTATGCAAACATGAATGTTCACATTGTCACATTGTTATGACATTAAAGATCACTGTTAAAAACTTTCATAAATTATCTATGAAGCTGTAAACTGACTTTATCACTGGCATCGTACTTTTCAGAAGTGTATTAAATATTTTTGTATAGAGTGTATCAACATAAAGGAACAAAGGGAATATATAATAGCATTTGATTTCTTTATGTTATATTTATGTGCATAAATTTAGTAAATGGCATGGTTTAGGATCATGTAGTGAGATTTTCTGGGATATGCTGAGAAGATAAGAAAGCTGTTGTAAGTTCCAGTGAATTAATTACGCAGGCAAAATCTTGGCTTGGAAGAATCATGGGGTCAGATTCTGTGTCATTAAGCAAGGC